GTAGAACTCCCCATGCAACTAAGAAAAGAAGACCCCCTCCACATTACTTTTGATTTGACAAAAGTAACTTTTGTATTTTATTTTATTTCTTTAGGCTGGAGCTCCTCTTCCTTTCGAGTTTTAAACTCATTTTTTCTCTTCTGCACCTATTTAAGGTTTTGTACCCAGCTTCTTTCTTCTTCTACTTGAAGACTTCGAATTTTCTAAGTCCAAATAGGGCTTTCATGTGGTGATGTTTGGAGAGGAAAACCATATTTTTCCTGTTCATTTGTTTTGAATTTGCATGGAAAACAACTGACCATTTTTTTTTTTAAGTGAACACATGCATGATTTAGAAGACAAGTTTCTTCCTCTTCTTCTCTACTGCAGCTTTCTTTTGCAGACTTTGCAATCTCCATTTTTTCCTTATCTTTTGAATCTCTGACACAAAAGACTTTGGGTGGAGCTCTTGATCAATAAGTTTTCTTCCTTTCCCTTTTTCTGGAGTTTTTTTTTTACAAACCATCTTTTCCATTTTCTTCTTATCTTTCGAATTCTTGACATAAAGGACTTTGGGTGGAGCTATTGAACAACACGTTTCCTTCCTTTCCCTTTTTCTGGTAGCATCTGTCAATTTACTAACTTTTCCTTTGCAAACCATCTTTTCCTTTGTAAACCTTCTAGACCATAAGTCTCGTAGGAATCCACTCCTTGAAATAGTACTTTGACAGCATGAAAGCTGGACCTTTTTTCATTGTGGAAAAGACTTGTTTGACTAGTCTTTCTTTTGAGTTTTTGGACTACCCAGTGGAGGTAATGGTGTCACCCGTTCTTTCTTCTTTCCTTTGCTTTTGGCTTGTAGATTTTGTCTCCATACTTTTGATTAAACTTTGAACCAATATTTAACAGTGAGCAGTCTTGCCAACATATCACTTTCCTCCTGGAGGGAAAACGATACACGGCAACTATATATTTTGTATAGATTGCTTCCTTCCTGCCTTTTCCACAGGGACCAAGCTTGGAACTTTGAAGATGCACTTGCGGACCGACGAGCATGGATCACTTATTGGAACTTCACGGGGTGGTTTAGACTAGCCCGAAGAAATTCATGGGATTAAACTGCAGCAGCACGGAGCGGAGCTCTTGAATTTGATCGGAACTTCACGGGGTGGTTTAGACCCCGAAGAAATTCATGGGATTAAACTGCAGCAGCGGAGCAGAGCTCTTGAATTTGATCGGAACTTCACGGGGTGGTTTAGACCCCGAAGAAATTCATGGGATTAAACTGCAGCAGCGGGGAGCGGAAGTGGTGATTTCGTTGGCTTTGTTGGACTGCAACTCGAGAATGTTGGGGAGTGGGAAAAGTTGAAGAAGCAAAGTGCTTCTTTTCTTCCTACAAAGCAAAAGAAAGAAACAACCCAAAAAATTAAATGAGATGGCTTTATACCTTCAAATGTTGTGTAGCTTTTCCTGCTTTTTTTCTTGCGTGTAGCTCTTGACTTCTTCTTCTTTCTTTTCCTTTGTTGTACCTTTGCTCTCTTGCTTTGCCTCTCTGTTGTCTTTTATGTGCTTCACAATTTCTGCAGCATCTCCTCTCTTGTTTCCGTCTCCCCTCTTTTTTTGTTGCAGCTGATGCTTATTTATAGGCATCATATGAGAGTTCTAGAGCTTGTTACGTGGGGGGAAAGATGGAGGGCATGACTTCCTGCCACTCTCTGTTAACCACCATTTCTGACTCCACGTTCCTTTTTGTTTGCAGAAAATGGGGAGCACCTGTATTTTTTTCTTTTGTATACGTTACTTCCCCCCTTTTGTAGGAGAAAATAAATTTTTTATTTATTTCTGAATGTTTTTGTGGGTAAAGCCCATCCTCATCTTTTGGGCTTGGATTACACCTTGTAGTTTGACTCAATTTGTGTGGACTCTATTTTTTCATATGTTTATATTTTTTTTTGTTCAACAATTTTATTTCTCAAATTTGTTTTACAATCTGTCTAGTTTTTCATACTTGTTTGTTTGTTTCAACTTTGTCCAAAACTCAATCTCCCTTTACTTTAGTGTGTCTAATTAGTTAGAATTTGTTTTAATTTGTGCTTTTAAATGTTTTGATTCAAGTAAAAGTCAATTTTCGTCCAAAGTCATTCCTAGTGTCTAGTTTAAGTTTATTTAGTTGTTTTAAGCTGTTTTGAGAATTTTAAGTTTGCTTTGAGTCTTGTGAGTCTTGTTAAGTATTTTTAAGTTTAGTTTTATGTTTTTGAGTCAGTTTAGAGGTTATTAGCAAGCCCTCCTAATCCCCGGTCCAGAACGATCCCTACTTATACTTATACTACAGTTGTCAAAAGAGGGTTAAATTTGTGTGTTAAGTTAATTTACGCATCACCCCCTCCCCAAGAAGGGATAAACTTAGATCGGTTCGGCGGGTTTGATGGTCAACTCAACAACATTCACAATTAGGACTTGAGTTGGGTTTGGATTTATGTATGTTCATTCAGGTGTGCTTTTATCGAGTTTAATCTTGTAACATTTTATTTTGCAAGAATTCTCAAATTTGTAACGAAAACAACATCAATACTAGTTAATATTCAATTTTACAAATCATCATCCACCCAAACACACAAACCAAATAGTCTGGCCTATTTCTATTGTTTCAAGTTTCAACCTGTTGTGCTTTGGCCAGTCGGTACAGAGATTTAGATTACCTCATCAAAATACAAACCCACAATTGAACATAATAAAATACAAGAAATAAAGACACTGAGAATTTACGAGGTTTGGCAAAATCCTGCCTACGTCCACAGAGAGATACTGCTTTTCACTATGAGGCTAGTACGAGATAAACTTGTGTTAAAAAGACATAACCCAAACCTGAATCCCTAGTACAAGTGTTTCAACTCTCACTCTGTTTTTTCTCCTCTCTGTTATCCTCCGAATGCTTTCACCGTGCATGAATATTGCCTTCACTTATAGGCATACAATAGCACCTATGCCAACAACCAAGACCACAAAGTCTTAAGTTCACATGATATATTCAACACCTAGCCTACCTAGCTTACAACTCTTCTCCATTTGCCATATTTTAATGCATACAAGAGAAAGCATGCACAATTGCATGCAATCCACAAAGTCAAGACCGGCTTCCAACTTTGCTTGTGGCAGTCATCATGTCTTCTCTTGAACGAAAACTTCCACGCCACGTCCGAAAGCAAACACAAAGTCACAAATGGCTGCTATCATTTTCTTGTAGCATTCACAAAGTTACACATGCAAAATTGTTGCTAACACACAAGGTATAAAATATCGATGATATCGGAAATATCGGTAGTCTAAAAACACGGAAATTTCGATGGAAATATCAGGATATTATCGATATGGATAAAAATTGAATAAAAACCACGGAAATTGTAAGAAAAACTTGGAAATTTTTATTGAAACTTTGCAGGATGTTTATTTAGTCAATTATCTATTAGTTTATCACAAAAAATTGGAAGGAAATGCATTGCATGATGGATTTAACTTATTTAAGTTGATTATATAGCGAGCTGACAAACATTGTGAGTGTAGAAAATATGTAGTAATTAATGAAAGAAGTTTAAACACACCATAATCATTTATATATAATGAATTAGTACAATATTTTACATTTTATACATCGCATGGTAAAATACATGAGTGACTTAGTACCACATAGAGTTCCTATGAGGTTCAAATTTTTCTGAGTAAAGTCAAGTCCACATAATGTTTGAAGATAAAGATAGCAGATTTTTTGCTTTTAAAATTGTTTTTTAGTCTTAATAGGTGTGCCACGGGGCCCACCTTTGTTTGTTGTTCCCCGGGTGGTCCAAGACTCCAAGCCTAACTCGTCTCTCTCTCTCTCTTCTCTTTCCCTCCCTCACACTCTCTTCCTTTTCCTCTTCTTCCCCGAGCCTCTGTGTTCTCTCATCTTCCCGTCGAACACACACACACACACACCCAGTCACCGCACACCATTCGTAGTACTCCGTCAACGGCATCATCATCACCATCTAAACCTCGTCTTTCTCTCCCTTTCTCTCGGTGCAGCTAGGACAGTGGAACCCAGGAACTCTCCGGCGAGGCCGTGAGTGTCGAGGAACTTTCCGAACACCTCCGACCGTTTCACGACAAACAGAAGTTATAAAAACATTCCTCTCGTCTTGTATTTCATTTTGATACCTAGATCGGAGTCTAGGGTGCTCTTTTACAGTCGGCCGGAGCTGTAGAAGCTCCAGCGTTCTTCTCCGATTCGCACCAGCCTAAAATATCTCGATATTATCGGTAATATTGCGATATTATCAATATTATCAATAATATCGCGATAGTTGGACGATATTTCAGTGGATACGTGTGAAAATATCGGTGTCTCACAAAAACGATATTATTGGCGAAATATCGGCGATAATATCGAAATTTCAGACATTGCTAACACATAATTAATCCCTAATTTATGAGCCAGTCACAACATAACCATGCAAAGTTGAGTTTAAATTTCAAAACAACACCAAAGTTTCAATTAAAAGAAACGTAAAAACAACATTATCATTCATTATCCAATTGAAAACCAACAACAAACTTCAAATATAGTCATCGCAAAACTTAGCCTTAATTTTTAAGGAAAACTAATGAAAATGGCTTGAAAACTTTGAGTTTTAACGATAAGGACAAAATAAAGGGTAAAGTGAATAGTACCAGGTTTGACTTTTTAGTGTAAAAATGTGATTTTTTGTTAAAGTGAACAGTATTGTGGGTTTTTCTTTAAAACTTCTTTTTTTTTTAGCTATGCCCTCTATGCTCTAAATAAAATCTTACTTTACCTCCTACATTCTATAACGTCTCACTTTACACCCTCTACTCTTCTTAAGACGTGTTTTGGATGTAAACGGAATTTGTCAATGAAGAAACATCCTGAAAGCGATAGCATGCCCACCCAACCACTAAGAAAGTTAGTAGACAGAGACATTAGAGGTGACAAAGTACCCTCCAAGATAAGATTTCATAATTACACTGAGACAGACTTGAATTTGAAAGCAGAGAGAGAGAGAGAGAGAGAGAGAGAGAGAGAGAGAGAGAGAGATGGAAGGAGAGAGATTAGGAAGAGTAGTATGTGTAACAGGTGGTTCTGGGTACGTAGGGTCTTGGCTGGTTATGAGGCTTCTTGATCAAGGCTACTTTGTGAATACCACTGTTAGATCAGACCCTACAGGTAAAGTTCAATTACAAACTTTATTTATTATTTTCTGTCGGGTTTTTGAAATAGTGGGATAAGGTTTTGTTGTGGTAAACTTGCAGTTGTATATCGGATTTGTTGAATTTTTTTTATTTAATCTACACAAGTATAATGTTGATATATCTTGATTTTTTTTTCTTGTGCAGAAAATTACTAACAAAAATTTTAATTTTGGTAGGGTGTTTTAAGTTTAGTTCTTTTCTTAAATTATTTCTTTGCCCATTTCCATTTCCATCTCTGCTAAGATTGGTAACAGACTTAATCAAAAAGATATCATTAGGGGTAGTAAAGCCCCCAAACAAACTTATCCAAGGTATATTAATACTAACAATTTCCTAAATAAACCATATCATTGGGAAGAAGTATACTTTAACTTTTGAAATCCAAGGTATATTTATACTAACAATTTCCTAAATAAACCATATCATTGGGAAGAAGCATACTTTAACTTTTGAAATTTCAACTACCTTGCGTTTCGAAACTGTCTGGAAGTTATCCAAATTAAATAAAATTTACGAAGAGGCAAAATAAAAATGGTCGCTAAATTTTTTTGAGGACGATTTTTAAATGATGTTTCGTCGTTAAAGGGGTAGTTCATATCTTTAGCGACTGTTTCTAGATAACTATTTCGTCCTTAAAAATTTATTTTATATGGGAGAAAAACGTGAATGACAAAACGGGACAACTGATATGGTTAATTAGCTATGAGACTTTGAACAAAAATAATAAAATTATTTTGTGTTTAATTTACTATAGGGAATTGTTATTGGTACTCCAAAAATCTCATTCTACACTTCAAACTTTCTATATTCGGAAAAAAAAAATACACTTGTGAGGAGTGTAGAATGTGATTTTTGGAGTGACAATAACACTTCCCTTTACTATATTGTCCATATTTTTATTTTGGTTATTTTTCTTTAGTTTTGTTGACATGATTAATTTGGATTTTTCACCATTTTTTGGGTGACAAATAGGATTTTGTTATAAGTAGTTTAGATTAACAATAATGCTACTTTTACAATCTATTTGTACCATCTCTCTGCCCACATGCGTTGACGCTGTTGAATCCCACATTGATGAGATGAGGGACATTCTATGTGCTCATAAGTAGTTGGGCTAGTCCCCATATTGCTAATTGGTTTTGAGGCGGAACCCCAACTTTCTTCATGGTATCATAGCAGGTTGTCTCACGTGTGAAGCCAAACGGCCACATGTGCTCCACGTCACCCTATTGTGTTGTCCACGTGTTAAGCTTGAAAATTTGTCACACGTGAGGGGCGTGTTGAGAATGAGTCTCATATTGATAGGAAGAAAGAACTTGCATTGGCTTATAAGAGGTTGAGCTACTCCTCATTGCCAATGGATTTTATGGTGAAACCTCAACTTTTTCATGTTGAGAATGAGTTCCACATTGATGGGAGGTATGACCTTGCATGGGCTTATAAGAGGTTGGACTACTTCCCATATTGCCACTTGGTCTTATGGTGAAACCTCAACTTCTTCGTGGTATCAGAGCAGGTTGTCCTGCGTGTGAAGCCAAATGGCCACACGCGCTCCATATCACCCGTTGTGTTGTTCACATGTTAGGCTTAAAAATTCGCCACACGTGAGGGGGCGTGTTGAAAATGAATCCCACATTGATGAGAGGAGAGACATTGCATGTGCTTATAAGTGGTTGAGCTACTCCCCATATTGCCAATTGGTTTTGTGGTGGAATCGCAACTTTCTTCAGGTGGGCCCTACCTGTACTAGAGAGATGATACAAATAGATGATAAGTGTAACATTACTCTTAAATTAAACAATTAATTATGGTTTTAATTTTAAATTGAGCTGCAAGTTTGTGTCCCGTTCCATATTGAAACCGCTCTTGGTACATGCCAGAGAACAAGCGAGATCTAAGCTTTCTCACAAGTCTACCAGGAGCAACCGAAAGGCTCAAAATTTTCACCGCGGATCTCAGCAACCCGGACAGCTTCTATGCAGCCGTTGAAGGGTGCACGGGAGTGTTCCATGTTGCCACTCCAGTCGATTTCCAAGACAACGAACCTGAACAGGTAGTGACCAAAAGGTCAATTGATGGAGCCCTTGGCATTCTACAGGGATGCTTAAACGCGAAAACAGTGAAACGAGTTGTGTACACTTCTAGTGCATCCGCTGTCATGTTTGGCAGCGGCAAGGATGTGGAGGAAGTGGATGAAAGTATTTGGAGCGATATAGGTTACATTAGATCTGTAAAGCCATATGGAGGGTCATACGTGATTTCAAAGAGATTAACTGAGAAGGCAGTTCTTGAATTTTTAGAGAAATATGGGTTGGATGTTGTGACAGTAATACCTTCTTTTATTGCTGGCCCCTTCATTTGTCCTAAGCTTCCCAGCTCCGTTCAGAGCACACTGGCTATGGTCTTTGGTAAACTTGAGGAGCTTAGATTTCTTATCAACATACCATTGGTGCATGTCGATGATGTTGCCAGCGCGCACATTTTCCTTTTAGAACATCATGATGCAAAAGGGAGGTATAATTGCTCATCGCATGTCATAACCCTCATACAAATAGCCGAGTTTCTTTCTGCCAAATACCCGAAATTTCAAATACCGTCAGTAAGGTAGGTCAACTAGTATTCTTCATACTACAAACGTGATTCTCTCGTTGTGTTCCTATCTCGAGATTGAAATCAAAATATCTTTATTTCTCGGTTCATTTGATCTTTCTGTGCAGCTATTTAAGGGAGGTTAAAGGTGATAAAACGCCTGGTCTGTCGTCAAAGAAGCTCTTGGATTCTGGTTTCAGATTCAAGTATGGGGTTGATGAGATCCTCAGCGATGCAATTCAGTGTTGCAAAGAAAATAATTATTTATAGTTCCGTTTTCGGATTATAATTAAGGCTCATGTATGATTATATGCACGTTTCGTTCCATTTACAGAAAAACATCACCCTTGTTGGATGGAAAAGGAACTTTTATGAACGAATATATACATTGTGTGTTGTAAGAATAAAAACGCATGCCCATATGTACCGACATATGGCTATCTCGTTCAAGTTCACAAGTTAACTTAGCTTTTCAATTTCAAGTTTCGCATGTCACGTGTATCGGCATATGGCTCTCTCAATTCTGAATGAACGTTATACAAAAATATTGAAAATGCATGCACATAATTAGTAAAATAAGAAGAACTAAATTAGGATTTACCGTGCGAAGAGGGAGATGTCTTGGTCTTGAAAAGCTGAAACTTGTCCAAACGACTGTTACAGTAAATTATATCACGAAAACGAGACTGAGAGATGAACTGAGTAAATTATATACATAATTGAGTAAATGAAGGAAATGGCATACCTGGATCTAGACAGGAATGAGCTGATAGTCAACCCCTTTCTCGAGTAGACAGGACAACACTCTTGACACCGGTGGCATGTACACTTTCACCGGAGTTGATGTGAAAATTAACTAGCACTCAAATTAAACCCTCTTTTTATCAATTGTAGCAATGTATGTAAGTAGGGATCGTTCTAGACCGGGGATTAGGAGGGATTGCAAAATCACTTAGCATTGACTCAAAAACGTAAAAACAAATTTAAAACACTAAAATAGACTCAAAGAATGCAAAACTAAACTTTAAAACTCCAAAACAAACCAAAAGACTCAAAACTGCACCAAAACACTCAAAACTGCCTTAAAAACACAATCTGGGCAGTTTTGGACACTAAGCACCAAATTGGACGAATTTGGGTTTTAACTTGAATCAAAACACTTAAAAACACAAAGTAAAACACTTACTAACTAATTTGACACTTTAAAACAAAGGGGGATTGGTTTTGGACGAATTTAAAAACAAAACAAAACTTTGTAAATTGACAAGACTCTAAAACGAATTTGGTTTAAATGGATGATGAAAGGCTAGCTAAGGGGTTCATCTCCACACATGTTATACTTGCATACAAAACGATTTCCAATTGCTTTTCAATAAACCATGAATTCTCAATGCCCCAAGTTAATTAGGTCCGCTTAAATTAACCCTCAAATTTTCGTAACGTTATTGAATTGGATGATTGCATACGACAACCCAAACATTCCCCACAAGTTCCCTACATGATTGCATAATAGAGATACAAACAAGAATCATTAAGTTCTATGAAAACCATAAGCATTGACGAAGCACTTGTTACTATGATTGCATGAAACTTATGCCAAGAATTTACTTAACGCGATTGAGATCATCAACCTTTACTACTTGTGAATATAAGTCCATAACGATTAGGTGAAATTTCCTTATATCCTAGCATTCAATTTATGCATGATAATTAAGCGTGCACTCTCAACCAACACACACAAATCAATGTAATGCACATAGATAAGTAAATTGAATTCACAACTTATGAAACGCAATTAGAAGTAATCAAATCATAACACAAGCATAAACATGTATTTCGAATCCCCCCCTAGCCAAGGGGGGTTTAGTTCCTCATACGCACAAAACAAAGAGAATTGAATTTAAACATTGAAATCAAAGGAAAAGAAACACCTAGAAATTCCAGCGACGCGAACTTGAATTGCATGAACTTCCGAGTCTCCTCCTCCTTGGTGCGGCAAAGGACTTTTAGGGACAGGTTGGGACTTTAGGTGTATGGATACATGGTTATGGATGGATGTAGTAGTGTTTAGGGGATGGGGATGGTGCGGCAAGACTTAGAACTAGGGGGAATGGTGTTTGGTGGGTGCGGCAAGAGTGAGGAGAGGGTTGGACGAATTTCTGGAGTGAATTGTGAATTGTGGTGAGTGGTGATCTGATTTAGGGGTTAATAGGAGTATATATAGGCACTTAAAACCCTAGGGTAATCAGATATGGACTTGGATAACCCAAATCCACAAGGAAATAGGTCTAAACAATCAGATTTTGCAAGGAAAAAGGCTCCTAGGTGCGGCTGGATAGGGATAAGGTGGATAAGGCTTCTAGAAAGCCTTGCAAGGCAAGGAAATCAGATTTCTAGAAGCTAGGGTGCGGCACCAATGTAGGGATTAGGGATAGGGCTTCTAGAAAGCCCCAAAACTGATAGGAATTGCATGAAACCCACGGCAAGGATGTAAACTTTCTAGAAACTTCTCATTTGTGTCCTACAACACTTAGGAGTCCTTCTAGCATTAGGAAAACATGTCTCAATCCTCTCTTGACTTGGAATTCTTCTCCTACTTCATCTTGGAAACCTTTCCTTCTTGGACTTGGAAAACTTCTTTGTTGCTGAAACTTGATGCCATTTGGATTTAACTTTCCTACTTCAAGTAGGAAACCTTGTTTGAGTAGGAATCTTCATCTTCTAGGAATCCCAATTTCACTAGGAAACCTATTTCAACTAGGAATCCTAATTTCAACTAGGATTCCATCTTCACTTAGGCGCTTTCCTACTTCGACTAGGAAACCTTGTTCAAGTAGGAAACATCATCTTCAAATCTTCAATTTCGTCCATCCTCTTGGCTCCAAGCATATGACATCCATTCCAAGCTCAACTTTGCTCCAAAAGGCTCCAAAATGCATCCTTTTGCATCCTTTGCCCTTAGAACCTGAAAACACATAAAACTAGCTTAAAAGACTACTTTACTAAGGAAAAACACTACAAATGCATAAGAACAAGCTAAACTAAGGCGCATAAATATGCTCCTATCAGGAGTCCCCCGTCATTAGAATTATATTTTTAGACTCGGATGGGGTTTTCTTTTCGTTTCAACAGAAAATCTATAGGACTTCTGGTGTTTCCAACACGCACGCACGAAAATGAACAAAGAAATAAGCTAATCATATCAAAATTTTGTTCCGATAACTTGATCTTTAACATCAGAAGTTACCTTCACTACTCATTAAACTGAGTGGAAAAGGTACACAATTAAGGAATATCAAAGTTCCACTGATTGTGCAAAGTTAATACAAAAAACAGCATCACGTGCAAACTTTTCACTGCTGAGGACACCTATTTTTTATATTCCTTCCGAAGGCAGTCAGACGGTGTTACACCCACCCCTAATTTAAATTGTATTTTTATTAAGTTTGAGTTTATCTTGCTTTTAAAAAAATTTTTTGGTCTTAAATGGTGTGCCCAAGGGGCCCACCCCTGAAATTTTGTCCCCGGTCCCCTCTCTTTAGCTGCCACGTGGCAGTCTTCTCTCTCTCTGCTCTCCTTCTCCCCGAGTTCCCTCTCTATTTAATTTCTATCTCCCTCTGGAACTTTCCTCTCTCCCCCCCTTCCGTCTCAGCAAAGCTCCGGGACACCCAGAGAACACCCAAGTCTACCTCGGCGACTCCGGCGACTTTCGAGGAACTTTCCGGCCAAACCACACCGAGTTGGCTGGCGTGCAAGGTATCAATTTCTTCGTCTCTCTGAGTACTACAACTTTCCTTTTTGTTTCACCCAATTTCGTTGAGTATTGAAGAAGTTATACTCATTTATCCGGGACCCTTCGTAGGATAATTCAACGTCCTGAATCCGTTTTTAATGTCCGTTTTCCCAGATTCAATTGTTATAATAGAGTTTTATTAATTGGACCCTTTATGTGCTTAGGGGCAATTATTGTGGCGTTTCTGTCTTCGCTAGTTTGCGTGGCTCTTCAGCGATGAAGTATCTGTGAGTGGACCCCTTCTAAAAATGCATGTTTTAATAGTAGAAATGCATACATGAAAGGCATGATTTAATGATTACGTTTTATGAAACGCTTTGAGATAACATGCTTACTAAGGCTAGTTTGAATTATTACTATTTTTCCTATAACCCATGTTCTTATAGAATATCCGATGGATGACGATATGATATTTAGAACATGTTTCGAACACCTCTTTATAGTATAGATGATGGATGACTTTATACTATGAAGTTGCTTTTCAATATATATATGTTCAATGGTTTTGTATTTACCTAGTGGTCCTTTCCGCAACGGGACGTAGGGATAGATTCCAGTCCGTCCCGGGCGACGGTTTGGTGTTGGCATAGGGCCTGGAGTGTGTTTCCTCTGGCTATTTAGCACAGGGATGGGTAGCCGACATGGGGCCTGAAGTGTATTTTCTTCTAACTGTCTGCTCAGAGACGGGGAGCCAGCATGGGGCCTGGAGGTTATCGGACAATTCACTAGTGATTATAATATATGAGTTATGATTTGAGACACTGCACGACATGCTAGGTTTTGGAAAACCTATGTTTATCAATATATCTGTGTTTTCATAAAACCTGGGGGTTAGTACGTTGATAACTGTTTTTTTATTATATATATATATATATATCAACTTGGTCCACTCATGTTTGTTTTGTGCCCCCTTCAGGACTTAGAATCGAGGCATACAATCCCGGCATTCAGGCATTTCCGCATCGGCATCTTTGAGTCCTCTTGGTGTAGGACCCATTCTCTTATTCATTCAATTTTATATTAATTCTTTTATTATTCTAGTTAGTTGTATGCTCTGAACACGTTCCTTAAATGCTTATTCCTTATTCTTTTACAATTATAAGTTTTATCTATTCCTTGTTTTCCGCATTTGCACTCAATAAATGGCTTTCATCACCTTTGTGTGTCAGCCAGCATGTGCTTATCTTGGTATTCGGAGAATATCGGGATCGGGACGTGTCAGATTGGTATTATAGCGTGGTCTGTTCAGAGCATACTTAGGATTCTCTTCTATTCTCGTAATGTGTCGGTTTTGACATCGGTTGGATGTCAGGACTTCTGGATTTGGTGTCTTCGACGCAGTTGTGAGAACCTTTCTCTATTTGAATTGTCACATTCTGGTTGAAATACAAGAATTCGTGTCGGGATTATGCCTTAGCAGCGATGAATTGGATTGTTGGATGACTTTCAACATTAGATTGATACTCCGCAATATGCGTTTCTTAGGAATTGCGGGCGGAGTCAGCTTTGCATCGAAATCTTGGGAAGCGGAAAAATCTTAGCAGTACGAATTGACTAAGACCAACTGGAGTTCTGAAGCAGTGTTGTACTCTGCGACATGAGTTCCTTAAGAATGGCAAGCATAGTCATATCTCTTGGAAATTACTCGAAACTTTCGAAATGCGTATTGA